CTGCCGCCGCCGCTGCTGCTGCACCGGAAGTACGGGGGCTGGGCTCTGTGGGAGGCAGGAGCCGCTCTAGCCCAGCCTCTGAGCGTATCGCTGGGCCCTGCCTCCCCTTTTCCGCCCCTCAGGACCCGGATCTGACGTTGAGACGCGGGCCGGGGAGGGGTGGGGGCTGCGACGCTGTGCGGCGGGCTGCGCCTGCGTACTACGTCTCCGCAGTCAGGTAGAGGAGGGGAAGGGGATCCGGGCTCTGCGGCGCATATGTTGGAGTGGGCCCTGGCTCCTGGGATCGCGTGATGTTGTAGCGCTCTCCGGAAGAGTGGTTCCGGGATGGCGCGTGCTCGGCTCTTGGGCTCGGGCCTTCGGCGATGGAGGGAAGCTTCCTGGCAGCTTTGGGGATCACGTGATCATAAAACGGGGGGTGGGGGGGAGAGTATCTCTCTCATGCGTGTTCCACACATTCCTCACAGCCATCTTATATACACATTCCTTGCACCCCTTCTCCACTCGTGTATGCGCACACACCCCCATTCCACATACATTCCCCACACCAATTACACACACCCATTCCCCTACACATGTACATCCATTCCCCAAACATGCACGAGTGCACACACCGCTACATGCTCATTCCACACTCAGGTTCTATACGTACACTGTCACCCATTCCTGGAACCCGTTCCATGTATTTTTTGCCATATGATTTAACCAAAATTGGGCAAAGGCGAATAAACAGAGGTGGATACAAATGTGTGATTTATGCCATGAATAAGTCATGTTGGGAGGTAGTGTCTGAAAAATAAGTCTTGTCCTGTATTTTTAGTGCAGCTGTGCTGTATTTCCAGGAATACTGTGAACTACTTTCATTCTGGGCAAACTGCTGCTTCCACCTCTGCAGAAAGACCAGTTTAAGGAGTAAGCATATTTTGCTTTCAGAAGATCCAATACAAGACAACTTCATGCCTGATTTCTTTCTATGACCTACTCTTCCTGTCAGCCACGGGACCCATTGCTAATGCTGTTTTTTCTAATAGTTGTGGACTTTAATTGCTCATCCTGTTATTTATAGCAAATGCCCAAGTCCCAGTGCTGTTGCTCCCTACAGCATGTTTGCTCCTCCTACCATTGTGGGTCTTTGTAGCAAAAACTACAATGCAGCAAGTGGAAATTCTGCCCCTCAGCATGGTGAAAAAGTGTCACCAGGGATTCATTCATGTTCTCAGCCAAATTTCTCAGTTTGCTTTCACTTATGCCTTGGCTCTCATTTTTCCTGGGTGGTTTGCTGCTGTTTGCTTCCCCTCTTGTAGCCCCTCTGGACCCTTTCAAGATTCTCCATGTATTTTTTTTTAAGTGCATTGCCCAGAACTTGACACAGTACTCCATCTGGGGTCTCACCAGCACCAAGTTGAGAGAAAGTATCACTTCCTTAGCCCTGCTCTCAACACATCGGCAATGCAGCCTCTTCATGTTTTTTGCATAGTTAAAACTCTTATGTGTAGGGTACCTTTGAAGAAGTTAGCATAACCCTTCTGCTGGGCACTAGTCATGTGCAACAAGGGCTGAGTTCAAATTTTGGGGTACCCAATAAGTTTTCACTCTGGCTCAAGTCCCTATCCAGAAATCTGTGATCACTGATTTTTGACTGGGGTGTCCTGCATAAACAAAACCCCACTTCACAAGCCCCCACAAAAGGATCGATTTATTTCAGAAAACAAAGGCAATGGAAGCAAAGAAAAACACCAAATGGAATTTGAAACTCTATCAGCTACAAGGTTGCACCCTTTTGGGAGGGGCTTCATCCATGCCCAGGCAGTCTGGGACTTGGGGGGGGGGAGGGGGAGGGTTCACCCAAAGAGTAGTTCTGGGGGCCTTCACCCCTATACCTGCCCTTCAGCAATAGGCTGGAGAGGAGGGCCCACACCACAGAGTCCTATCAGCTGCTCCCCGGAGTATGCTGTATCTCAGAAAGCTGCTAGGGCAAAGGCAGGCAATTATTTTGGCTGGAGGGCCACTTAATGAGCTTTGGTGAGCTGTTAAGGGTTACAAGGGTAGTCCCACCCCCTGGTTGCCATCTTGGGACATGAAGTCCCACCCCTAACCCCTGACCTTTGCCACTGGAAGTTCCTCCCCTTGTCCCAGGAGTACTCCTTTTGGGAGGAAGGGTGCTGCCATCTTGAAACTGGAAAAGAATATCATATACTAAAAAAATCTACAACTTATTTTCATAGATTTCAGGGTCGGAAGGGACCTATTGGATAGTTTCATAGTTGGTAGGGTTGGAAGGAACCTGAGCAGATCATCAAGTCTGACCCCCTGCCACGAGCAGGAAAGAGTACTGGGGTCAAACGACCCCGGCCAGGTGATACTCTAGCCTCCTTTTGAAGATCCCCAGGGTAGGAGGGAGCACCACTTCCTTTGGAAGCTGGTCCCAGACCCTAGCCACCCTGACTGTGAAGTAGTCCCTCCTGATGTCTAGCCTAAACCTACTCTTAGTCAACTTATGACCGTTATTTCTAGATCATTTGAGTCTGACCCCCTGCCCTGGGCAGGAAAAAGTGCTGGGGTGAGATGACCCCAGCCAGATGTTTGCTCAATCTCCTCTTAAATACCTCCAAGGAAGGAGATAGTACCACTTCCCTTGGAAGCATATTCCATATTTTGGCAACCCTTACTAAAGAATTTTTTCCTGATGTCCAGTCTAAATTTGCTCTTCTTTAGTTTGTGGCCATTGTTTCTAGTTACCCCAATAGGTGCCCTGGTAAACATTGTATCCCCTGTTTCCTGTCCCCCCCGATGAGTGTGTAGACAGCCACAAGATCACCTCTCAGCCTTCTCTTGCAGAGGCTGAAGAGATTCAGGTCCCCCAATCAGTCCTCGCTGGGTTTTTCCTGTAGGCCTTTAACCAGATGTGTGGCCCTCTGCTGAACCCTTTCCAGGTTATCCACATCCCTCTTGAAGTGCAGCGTCCAAAACTGGACACAGTACTCCAGCTGCAGCCTGACCAATGCCACATAGAGAGGAAGTATCACCTCCCTAGACCTGTTTGTGATGCATCTACTTATGCAAGAAAGAGTGTGGTTAGCTTTACTTATTAGTTCATCACATTGGTAACTTATGTTCATTTTGGAGTCAACTACAACTCAGAGATCCCTTTCCACAGTTGTGCTACTTAGAATGGTACCTCCCAGGCTTTAGGTGTGTTGATGAGTCTTCCTCCCTAGGTGCAACACATGGCACTTACCTTTGTTAAAATATCTTTCTGTTCTCTCTGTATAAATCTCTGTTCTGTTCCACCCACTTCCCCAGCCTGTCCAAATTGTTTAATTTTATAAAACAAATATATGTTTGTTCTGATTTATGGTGTTTGCATAGTGTCTCTAGAGGTGATTGCATAATAGTTCAAAATACAGACTTATTCTTGTATATTGTGTGTGGGCAGGTAAGGGTGTATATGTGGGGGGTGTGGTTGGGGAGTACGTGTGTGTGTGTAGTGTGGGTATGGAATGGATCTTGTACCACCTAATGAGGGTTTTGCCACTGACTTCAGTGGCATCTGGTTCAATGTGAAGGAAGGCTATTCTAAGTGA